AATAAATATGAATTATTACTAGTCCATTGGTTATCAAACAAACACATTTTTCTTATTCTCCTCACTAGCAGTCTCCTCACTGACAGTTTCCTCAATATTAATCCCCTCACTATCAAGCACCTCTATTCTGCTTTTGAAAATAAACGAGGCTATACTGTCTAGTTTATGGAAGACAATATGACAAATGTGTGTTTAATAGTGTCAAGCATTGTTACTAGACCACCAGATAAACACTATAATTAGAGCTTTTGCTATTGTGAATCTTACATATATTTTTATGTCAATATTTTTTAATATTTATTTGGAGTTTTTTTTTTTTTTTTCAATGAATAGAAAAAAAGATAAGTTTAATCTCAAAATTTTTGAGGCAATAGTCTCGAGGTCTATTTTTTGGGCTAAAGGGTCAACAATTTAAAAAATAATTGTCTATCTGTCCACGTCATATATTTGCCTACCTGTTTGACAATGTGTCATTCCTTTATTGGTCCACATGTGATAAATTAGAGCTTTTGCTATTGTGAATCTTACATATATTTTTATGTCAATATTTTTTAATATTTATTTGGAGTTTTTTTTTTTTTTTTTTTCAATGAATAGAAAAAAAGATGAGTTTAATCTCAAAATTTTTGGGGCAATAGTCTCGAGGTCTATTTTTTGGGCTAAAGGGTCAACAATTTAAAAAATAATTGTCTATCTGTTCACGTCATATATTTGCCTACCTGTTTGACAATGTGTCATTCCTCTATTGGTCCACATGTGATATGTCTATCTAATCCATAGGAAAATGTTTGGGACCCTCTTTTAAGGAGACCCTCACCACCCCTACAGTGATGTAGACTGATAATGTGTTTGTATTATTTTTTTTCTTTCTCTTTCTTACTTGGACCAATCACAAATGAGTGGGAGTTGAGGGGATAATGTTTGTAGAGTCATTACTGCCAATCTATATATCTATTCATATCACTATCACTATCACCAATTGCTGATGGCGATGCCTTTTTCAATGGTGATCTAGCAACAGTAAAGTAAAAATGAAAGTAATATTTTAAAAATAATTTCATTGATTATGTTTTTATGTCCATAAAAGATCAATCTTTGGATCTAATATCATATTCTCATAAAAATAGACATATCACCAATAAATTTTAGAAAAATATCGGGTAACAAAAAAAACTTTAACAAAAACATAATACTTGCAAAAAAAACTTATGTTATTAAAAAATAAATAAATAAAGTTTGGTTAAAAAAAGAGGGGGGGGGGGATTACTGTTTAGTGTGATTTTTCAAAAATAATTACAGATTCATGAAAAAGTCTATAACTTTAATTATTAAAATTTGTAAAGTTTATCATTAATGTGAATTTTTTTTATTTTTTTTTACAAACAACCACATTATTATTATTTCTCCAAAAAAATATCAAATTTGATATGATATTTCTTTTTAATAGAAACAAATATAATTTTAAAAAATTAAAAATATTTTAGGGAAATTATAAAATAAATTAAGATAGCGTTTGATAGAGTTTTCTACGTATGATTTGAGAATAGAGTTGTATTTTGAGTTGTGAGTTTTGAAATTATGATTTAAGTGTAAAAAATTTGTTTGGTTATGAGTTTTGAAAAGAGTTTTGGAGGGAGTTTTGAGTTTTTGAAATTAGAAAAGTTATTTGATTCAAAAATTTACAATTCATAACCAAACACACAATATAAAATTCTATTCAAAACTTATATAAAAATTTAAAAAATTTCAAAAATATTTTTTTATTTATAATATAAAAATAACAAGTGCCCAAGAAAAAAAAAAAAGCCGATTTAAATAGGTGTGGAATTTTTTGGGGGACGTCCGGGTTAGTCAAATTTTCTCACCTAGAAAGGAGTTTTCAAAATTAAATGTGGAATTATAATTTGAAAGTTCAAAACAAACACCACACTCAAATGAGTGGGTGGAAATATGTTTGAATACATAACCAAATACAGCCTAGAGTTTGACTCTTATAGCAAAAATAAAAAGTTTTTAATTTTATCAATTTAAATATTAATTTGTTTGATTTATTTTCAATCTAAATTATTTATATGTTTTTGTTAAGTAAAATTGACAAAAAAATATATATTTTAACCATTAAACTGAATGTAGGTATACATAAAACAAGTAAAAGATTCTTTTTCATTCAATTTAATGATTAAAATACAAATTTCTATCAATTTTATCTAATAAAAATAGTTAATAATTATATTAAGAATAAATAAATGAAAATTATATTTTAAATTGATAAAATTAAAAACTGACAATTTATTTTGTTTACCAGAATGTAACCTATAGTTTTTATTTTATTTTATTTTCCACAAACATTTATTTAATATTTTCCTCAAATTAATTTTAAAAGTCAACTCCTCTTCCAAAATACACACACAGGGTATGTTTGGTTTGAATTTGGGAGATGAGTTTTAGAGATAAAAAGTACGAAAAGTTGTTTGGTTTGATTTTTTTTCAAAAGATGTTTTGAAAATTTATTTTGAGAGAGAGTTTTAGAAAAAATGATTGATTTGATGTGTATGAGAGAGAGATTTGTTTGGAAAACTTATAAACCAAACAAGTTTTGGGAATTTTTTTTGAAAAAATTTGTTTGATTTGATTACTTTTAAAAACTTATTTGTAGAGAATTTTTCCTAAAAATTTTTGAGAAACACAAACCAAACAATCTCTCTTGTATTGTATGGATTATTTTGAGAAGATAATAAAAAGTGATTTTTTGGCTTTTAACCAAATTTTTGGCTTTTTTAGACAAATGATTTGGGAAGTTGGTAAAAAGTGACTTTTGACTTTTTTGATTAATGTTTATTTATGATGTCAAATCATAATAAAATAACCAAACTACCCCCATTTATTTAAAATATTTACAACTTCACCTATGTAATACATTTTGACCCATAAGAGTAAAATTATAATTTCACCGTTGACTAAAAACTAACATCCCAAATGAAAAAAAAGACAAAAAAATTAACTATTAACTTTTAACTTTTAACTTTTACTACCAACCAAAAAAAAAAATGACTGCAAACCATGTTGCCAAAACAGGCGTATGTATGGATGGGGATGTGTAGTACTAGTGTGTATGACAGGAATGGAGAATTCCTCCTCCGCTACTTCCACCACCACCACCGTCTCCGCCGCCGATAAGGGCATGAGCTCAGAATCTGTGAAACGATGTGGTGGTTTCTTGAAAGGGGTTGGAACCTCTGACACCATTCCTCCGCAATTCGAGGCCAAGGAATTATTCTCCGATTTCATAAGGGGACTCCTCAAGGTCGATCGAATCGAGCGCGGTCGAGTCTCCTGTGTAAGAATTTATGTATTATTGATTGATGTATTACAAGATTGTTGTTTTTCTATTTTGTACAAGAATTCCTATTATATAGGAGATGATTCTGGAGTAGGTGAGGAGTGAGTGGTGGAGGTAGGTTTGGTGGAGTGTAGTAGGTGATAGGAGTGAGTGGTGGAGGTAGGTTTGGTGGAGTGTAGTAGGTGATTTACATTTACATTAACATCCTGCTTTCTCTCCGTCAAACCTTCCGCTATGGTACCAAATTCCACTCTTCTTCCTCCAAATCAGATCCCTTTTGTTTTTTCTTTAGTCCCTTCACTCTCAAGAAGTTCTGTTTGGTTGCTGAGAAAATTCGTTGCGTTTTGATTTGTGGGAAAACTGAAGGTTTTAAAACAAAAAAACAAAAAAAAGAAAAATTGTAAAAAGATAGTTTTCATGTTTTATGTTGTCCTGGGTCCTGTTTGGTTGCCGGGAAAATGCAAGCGGAAGTAAGTAAAATTATTCTTTCTGGTTTTGGATTGATGGTAAGTCTGAGAAGCAAAACAAAATGAAGATAGGAATCTGTATCTTTAAATTTGTATTGGCTCCTGAATTATGTGAACTGCAACGTGGCTTAGTCTTCCCCCCCTTTTTCGCCTTTTTCTTTCCTTCTGCAAATCAGACCCCTTTCGTTTTTTCCTTCACTCTGAAGTTTTGTTGGGTTGGTGAGAAAATGCGGTGACTTATCTCCGTTTTGATTGGTGGGAAAACTGAAGGGTTAAAAGGAACATTGTAAAAAGATTGAATTTTCATCTTTTATGTTTTCCTGGGTCCTGTTTGCTGCTGAAAAAAATTACAAACAGAAGTAACAAATTTTAAATTTAGAGATCCTTTCTGTTTTTTTTTTTTTTTCTTCCCCCTCACACTCTGAAGTTCTGTTTGGTTGCTGAGACAATGCGGTAACTTATCTCCATTTCGATTAGTGGGAAAATTGAATGTGAAAATAAGAACATGGTAAAAGATTGAATTTTTACATTTTGTGTTGTGCCGGGTCTTGTTTGATTGCCGGAAAAAATGCAAGCAGAAGTAAGTAAAATTAAATTTAGATCCTTCTGGTTGGATTGATGATAAATTTTTGGAAAGAGAAGAAAATGAAGATAGGAATCTGTATCTTTAACTTTGGCTTGGGCCATCTCCAACCCGTACTCACATTTTTACTCAAATTTGATAAAAACTTGGTTAAAATATCATTTGATATAGAGTACTCCAATGGCTTAGTTTGGTTTGGTTTGGTTATAGAGTACTTCAATTGCCAAAATCAAAGTTTTGAGTAAAAATTCGACGAGTGGCACAATTGTAAATTTAGAAGCTATAATATCATCCCAAATTGTCTTTAGAAATTTGAGTAAAAAAAGAGCCCCCCTTAATTTGTGGAGTAAAACTCATTTTGGTATGAGTTTGAGTAAAGGAGTGGAGAGAGATTTTGATCATTGTTACTCGAATTTAAATTTGATATGAGCAAAGGGTAAGGATTGGAGATGCCCTTAGTTGGGGTTGAAATGCTTTTTCACTGTTTATTTCCTTTTCAGTTTTTCAAATACATTGCATTCATGATTCATGATATATATCGTGTTTCCCACACCTCACTTCAGACCAAATTGAAGGTTTGATGTTTAATTAATAATAATGTGTTATGTAGAATGTTTATGGTGGATTGCATGGAGGGGCTGTTGCATCTGTGGCAGAGATGGTGTCAATTGCTTGTGCCAGAACTGTTGTAGGCAAAGATAAGGAGCTCTTTCTTGGAGAATTGGGCATCTCTTATCTGTCTGCTGCTCCCCGCAATGTGAGTCCTTCCATTTTACATTTTCACAATTCTCACCATGGGTTTTGCATGAATTGATGCTTCTTTCTATTAGATATGCTTTAAACCAACATTAATTGTGTTTTTTGTTATCTTCCTAATTTGGGTTTGTTGAATTTTACATTAGTTTGCTCATTTATGATAGTGTTCTTTTCATGGTGCCTGGTGATTTTGGTTTGGACTGTGGAAGCAATGATTTTCGGATATTTTGTTTCCAATTGGATTGATAAGCCTATCTGGGTTTTTGTTTTTATTGCTAGAGAGGTTATGGTAATAATTGCTTTATTCTGATACTACATCAACATGATTATTTATGATTATTGATTTTTCTCAGGATTGCATAACTCAGCCTTCGTCTTAGTTAGGCCTTTTCTATATATGAATTGGATGATTGTTTGAAGTGAAGACGTGTGATGGAGAATGTGAAGGAGGCACAAACAAGAGTTTGAGTTATATAAGAGTTTAAATTTGTTTAGGACTTTATTTTGATTGTAATTATTCGATTTTGTTACTTACCCTACATATGGTGTAATGATTTTATTAGATTTTGGTATAATTGAATTGATTAAGAATTTTCTCTTTCTTTGCAATCCTTACCTCTCTTTCTTCCTCATCTCCTCCTTTGCAGATTTTCTTCCAGTCAGTCGATTCTTCTCTTTTGCTCTGCAGATTTTCTTATTATCCCCTCTCACTCTCTGCAGATTTTCTTCCGTCTCAGTCTATTCTTCTCCTTTCGCTTCTCCTTTCCCTCTTTGTTCTCTGCTTCCCTTCACTATTTCCCCACTGGTTCTACATCAACTTGCTTTTGGAGTCCATGCCTTGAAGTGTTGGATGTTGATGTAGGACGTGATTTTGGGAATTTTTATGTTTTTAGTATTAATTTTTAGAATTAGTATTTTATTTAGAATATTGCAAGTTAGTATAAATACTTTAGGATTATTAGGTTTCTTAATTTGTTTGATTTTGTTTTCCTATGAAGCACGGGTACGGGTACGGGTACGTCGATACGGTAAAATTCAAAAAAAATAAGGTACAGGTACGGCTTGGTATGCTTGTAAAAAAATATTTTTTTTAATTTAGAGCAATGCAAAAATGAATTAAATGCTTTAATTTGTTAAGGTCCAACCTACAATTAACATTTAATGCCAAAAGTAAAGGTAAATCAAAATTAAATGTCAATATATTAAATAACTTACAAATCATAATTTAATTTTAAAAGCATGCTAAGTATAAAACAAAAAATAAAAAAAGAAGTCTAGTGAAAAGAATTTTATCTCTATAGTAGAAGAAATTTTTTTTCAACTGAAGTACGGTACAGCTTGGGTATATACTAGGTATGTTTGGCTACGCCAAAAAATTAAGAAGAAAAAATTTGGGTACCTGTTTCGTGTATCTAGTACGTATGCAGAAGTAGCATACAAAGTATCATACGCCGGTAAGTATCCCGTACGAGTACAACATGTTTTTTTGAAGTACCCATGCTTCATAGTTGTTTTCCTAATTTCTTAGGTTTTGTGTTTTCCAAGAATGAGATTAGTTTATTGTTTCCTAATTTTAGATATCTTGGTGTCCAAGTTTACTTGGTCTCTAAGATTTAGATTATTATAAATAGTTATGTAAGCCTTATGACAAACAATTTTTATTCAACTTTTATGCAATACTATTTAGAATTTCCTCTTCCTCGTGGATTCAAGGTTCTATTTTCTCATGGATTTGATACCCTATTCGTTTACTAGAACCATATCTAGTCTCCCTTGTATTCCGCTGCATCAGATGTTGACTAACCAAAGAATACGTATGAAAGTAATATTGCTAAAATCAAGATTTTAAAATGGATTAGTAATAGAAGACAAGATGCAATAAGATTAAAGTATCTATGAGAGTTAGTGGTGGCACTATTGGGAAGAAGACTGCGGAAAATAAGCCAATTTTATTGTTTTGGGACCAAGAGTTGGCTAACATGAAGGAATGCCTTGATTCTTGTTGAAGGTTCTATATCTCACTATCCATTAAAGGCGATGGCCCTTGATATAGCTGAATGGGAGAAGAAAATCAAATTTATGTAGTTTGGATAAAGCTTTATTTGGTTGAATAACATTTTTATTTTGTTGGATAACATTTTGTAGTTGGGATAGAGCATGCTATTAGATGTAGGGGTCTAAATCAAGCCATATATCTCAAGATCGGCTCAAGGTTACCTTGCCTAGGACTTGTTGAAGGTGGGTTTCAAGGTAAGATGAGTAGAGCTCAAGCTTGAGTCTACCTACAGCTTGTTTGGTTTGTGAGCTGAGCTTGAACAAGATGCTGTTTGGCTCGATGTACTTGACTTGCGTGACATGCATGTGAAAAGGGTATAGTTCATAATATCACATGAGCATAAAGAACGTTCCAATGGAATCTTTGACATCACCAGAGCAGAAAAACCAAAGCACCACTGCAATAAAGTTCACACAAACACGTCACAAGAAAGTAACCTTATAATCATGCTTTCTTAAAAGCTGTCATATTATCAGGTCACTATAATAAAGTCTTTAACTCATACTTAGGCACTAGTAACACATACATGTAGTACCCCTCTAATTCTACTAATTTGACTAAATAATATTTTGTACAGAGATGAGCAACTGGACAATGCAGGTAATTATTTGAGCCAAGCTGAGCAGAGCATTCAACACCGTGTTAGAAACTGAGCCAAGCTTGAACGTAACTTTTTAATATTTGACCAAGCTTGGACAAAGCTTTCTAATATTTTGCATAACTTGCACATTGTGAAAACTATATCGAGCTAGGACTGAACAGCTATGAACTTATCTTGAGTTAGAAGGAATATGAAATAGTTAATTGCATTTTTATTTAATTTTGTTCATGCATTGATCAGTATGTCAACATTTACGGCAGGCAGTAGTGCTTCCATGTCATAGGCATTCTTTGGATGCAGAATCTGTAGTGGGGCTGTTTGGTGCAGCTTATGGAGCTGCTTATAGCTTTTTTATTGTGGAAATTTGTGCCAAAGTGTTTGATATGGCTTTTGCTTACAGCTTATGAGCCAAAAATAGCTTAAATAAATTGGAAAAAGTTGGATTATTGAGAAGCAGGGAGAGGTGTTTTTAACTTCAGTTTTTTTATTAACTTTTAGCTTGTTAGAGGCTGCACCACACATGCCCTATATACACTGACCCAAGTTATGATATTTAAGTTGTTGATTTTGAGTGGCTTATATGACTATCCAAATATGCTTGATGCTTGCAGAAATTTATGGTATTGACGTCATTGTTATCTTTTTGTTTACTTTTGTATAACTTCTTTTCTTTTAAATGGGGATTTTTTTTTACTCACAGGCAGAATTGAATGTTAATGCATCTGTGGTAAGAAGTGGGAGAAACTTGACTGTAATTGCAGTTGAGTTCAAAGTGAAGGACTCTGAGCGTTTAGCTTATACTTCTCGCGCTACCTTCTACAACATGCCTGTTGCAAGTTTGTGAAGTTCCCCTTATGCCAACACATGAAGGATGAATGTCTAGGTATGTGATATTGTCCTATGACATGCCCATCACAAATTCCTTAGAAATATCATTAATTCATTTTTTTCCTTCTTATTTTGACATCCCATTACCATGCTCTGAGAATCTGAGATGTTGCTGGTCAGTGACACTAAGAATCCGATAATAGAGCTATATAATATTAGTTGTCCCAAGACACATCCTGAATTTTTTTTTTTGCACTTGTGGGATGAAAAGATAGCTCTTGTAAATCTTGATGAAAGTATTTCATGTAACCTAGGAATAATTTTCACTTCTAAAATTGTTGTAGTTGTCCTCATAAGGCAGTCAGATGTTTTCTGCATCTAGAGGGTGTGGATATGGAAGATAGGAGCTAACAGGTGCATATTGTTTAGTTAAAAACAAAAAAACAAGAATGAAAAAGCAAAAGCAAGCAAACACGTTCTGTCTGTGTCCTTAACTGGTGTGAGAGCATCTCCAATGTGATAGTTAAAATTGTGTACTATATATGACAAAAGTGAGACTCAGTTTTGCTTGTTTGTTTGTTAGTTTAGGTAGTATGTGTGTTAAGTGAATAATGTATTTTTATATGTAAAAAATGGACCCCACCAATTTCTCATCTGTCTTCACCTTTTCCTCTTTTCATTCTCTCCTTTTTCTCCACCTACTCTCTCTCTCTCTCTCTCTCTCTCTCTCTCTCTCTCCACATTGTTAATATGCTCCTGGCAATTAACACACATTAGCAAACAAATGTGTTTAGAGAGCCCATTGGAGCACAATTTAACGGAAAAAACCTGTGCTAGCTGACAAAATCAGTTAATCTATGACACTAACAATGAGTTTGGAGAATTCATTGGAGATTGCTCTGAGAAGGTAGAGAGTACTTGCTTACTTGGGCCATCACGAATCACCATTTCCAAGCAAATGGGTTTTCTATGGCCCGTCCTTCATCTTGCTTTTGAAGGATTCTTTAGCCAATTCATAAGATTTGTGGGTTGTTCTGGTTGCTTTTTACATTTATACCGGGTGTGTGGTTGAATCTAGCTGTTTGTATTTAACATTGCTTCCTCTGAACTTACATGAATTATGTGTTCTTGATTTCTTTCATTTCCTATCATTCATTTATGACTTTGTGCCACAATTTTAAGAGTATTAAGGGTGAATTGTCTCTACACAAATCTGCAGGAATTGCTTCTTTTTTATTATTTATGAAGTTACTTATTTAGTCGAACCAAACAGACTTTTTACTTTTGGCTTTTTTAGCCAAAAAGCAGCTTATTTAGAGATTGCCAGAGAGTGAGTATAAGAATCGCTGATGATGCTAAATCGCAAAAGTTTCTTTACTGTTGATTTTATAAGTCTTGATAAGATCACTTCTAAACCGTTGTAATGAGAACAAACTTTTTCTTCATCATGCTTGGCAGAAGCTGAAGGATTGAAGTGAAATATACCAGCTTTTTTTTTTTTTTTTTTTGGTTCATTATGTTACTGTTAAATTTGTCACTTGATTATGATATGATTTTGTTGTGCCTGTGGTATTAACAGTACTTTGAAATTTCATGCTGAAACAGATATGTTCGATGATAAAATGACAAATGATGGATTGATGCAGTAGAAGTGCTAACTGCTTGGAATTGGAACACTGGAACTACCATTTATTAGATGCCGATGCAAATGTTGAGATAATCTCAAACATATGCAAAGAGGAACAAATAAGGAGATAATAAATTATCCAGTATGTTGCTAATCATATTATGTTCAAGCAGTATTTGACACCAAAGTTCCCAAAAAGCTTAGTTTTATGTACAAGACTTTTGCACATATGTATATTTGTGTAATTGCTAGCTCTCATATTAAATTGGAACTAAAATATTAGTTCTATTCATCAGAGCATATATATCCAATCTTGAATACTTGATGTTTGATCGGCACATGGCCATCATCAACTTTTACATGAGAGAGAGAGAGAGAGAGAGAGAGAGAGAGTTATGATGAGTTTTGTACATTTTTGTTTTATGTTCTTGAAAAAAGAAAATTAAAAAAATTGACTCAATTTGTTTGATAAACCGTCTCTGAAAATAGTTTTTGAGAAATTTTCTTAAAGCACACCAAATTTGTTAGATATTTTTTAAGTTACAAAATTTTTGAAATTTTGTTTTTCTCGAAAAATATTTTCTGTAGAAACTATTTTCTTATATTTGATTGAGTCTTTAAAACTAATGTATTAATGATTGTATGGGTTGTGATGGGTATTGATGGTTGTAGCAGCGAGGTAGACGTAGAGCGGTGATAGGTTGGAGGTAGTGGTGGTGTTGGGAAGAGGATGGGGGTAGCAGTAATGGTGACATTGGTAGTACTACAGTTTGAAAATGTTTTTTGTTTTTTAAAAATAAAAATATTTTCTGCCCATATAAGCTTGTTTTTTGTTGACTACGAAAAAAAATTCTTAAACTTTCGTTTTACATTATACCAAATGTTAGAGAATGCAAAAAATATTTTTTCGTCCAAACAAATGGGGGGTGAGCGTGAGGAAACCAAGAACAACTCAGCTCACCGGAGGTTGGGAGCAAACCAAGAGAACAAAACCAAGATTTGCAGCAACAGGCATGAAATTTCAAAACAATTCAATAATAAGCAATGCATGAAATCATTTCACTTGATATTGCTTTTCAACTGGACATATTTGTTTCATACAAAAAGGCAAGTTAACAAGGTCACTGATCAACAGGAATGAGATCAATTCTTTACCTTTCCCTTAATTACTATCTGTCAGCCAAACATGAAGAAAAAAAATTGCATACAGACCCGATCACAGCTGGAATTCTGCAGAGGCAATCTCACCAGTTTACAAACACGTGCTTTCAATCCGACCTCCCAGTTGCTGGCTTCCAGAATACCCCTTTGCCTCTATATGTAAACACCAGATGATTTTACTTACTAGCCCTTCACCATTGATTGTGCAGTGGTTTCTACCAAGATCTTCCAAGAATTATGAAGAAGACGAGAAGCCCTGTGGGAGAGAGGAGCATATGAAAAGAAGAATTTCAGTGACTTAAAGGATGCTCGGAAGAATAAAAAAACGTTTCAGAATCATGTTGTTTGGTTACTTCGTGAAATTATAATATTGGTAAAGAATCATGTGGGGGGTCTGAAAGTTAAGTACACGGTTGAACTTGGTAAGATTGTTATTCTCTATCATGAGAATATCAAATATTAAAACACCATGGGTTATTTTAAGGAGGATCAGAATGACTCCAAAAACCAAAGTTGATTTGACACACTGTTTCTAGATGCACAAAGTGAAGCACTAGTGTTGGTCTTTTTAATCTACTTTTCTTCTATATCAGAGAGAGAGAGAGAACCATTTGGGATAATGCTGAAACTAATTTTAAAAAAAAAAAGGATGTAGATACCAACCACCTTGTGAAGCCTCATGAAAATACAGCATCAACAAACGTTTCGGCATCAAAGGGTTGCAGGTCTTCTACACCTTCACCCACACCCACAAACTTTACAGGGATACCAAGCTCATCAACCACGCTAACCTGCAAGCAGAGATTACAGTAGCAAATAATCACCAAAATCACCCATTGATATATATGTATGTATGTATGTATGTACTAGAGGTGTGGGCACTACATGTGTGTGAAGTAGTTAGCCAAATCATGGCAGTTACTAAGTTTGCAATTAGATCTAAAAGGGTATTTTGGCAGTTAAATAAGGCTAGTTACATGAGGGTAATTTCGGAAAGAGAAAAGATGTGACATATTCACACCAAGTAGGTTGTACACTTTATATACTAATATAGATATGCAGTCAATATGCATATTAACTATCTATCTATCTATATTGTATGTTAAAATTGAGGAACCATCAGGAGTGAGCCATCCCTATAAAATGCTTTAATACAAAAATACTAATTTGCGAGTTTACCACACAGCCACCTCTAGCAGAGCCATCAAGCTTTGTCAAAATCAAACCAGTTATTCCAACAACCTGCAAATGAAGTTTCAGTCAAACAACATACATTAAACATCTTTTGCGCACAATGGAAGCAATACTTTTGGTTTTGGTTGGTTGAACAACTGAGACATTTCATTGAAATGAATCATATTATCTTACTGTGCTCAGAGAATGATAAAAAGTAGAATAACAATGCTGATTCAAAATATACATAAAATAAATGGCATGCAAGCACAGACAACCCTCTATGATCCTTAACACTCCCGCAAAACTAACACTGAAAAACAAGAGGTGAAAAAACATAAAAAGAGTGGATAATTGGTGGGGAGGTGGCTGGTGTGGAGCCTTCTGGGAGGATGGTAGGCATTGAGCTAGCATGAGACCACCGGATGAGGGGGATGTAAGAACTGAGGCTATCTTAGATGGAGAGTGGCAGTGAAAACCTTTTGAGCTTTCCGAAGAGGGTTGTGACTTATTATGTAGCTGCATGCACGGAGGACACCTCCTATTGTAGGAGGCTGGACCATGTGAGCTAACTCGTATCTGAGGTTGCAGTAGGTGGTAGGTATGTTCAGCTATACAAAGCATAATGTCTTGGTAATGCCTGGTTGTCCTCTTCTGGAATGAGGGGATATCGAATGAAGGGGATAGCGAGGCACCTTGATGGACCCTCAACTCTAGTCTCCAAGCCACAAGTCCTCTGGTCCGTGTGGGAATCATCGGTTGCTCGAGCATCCCATGACCGCAACTCCAAACTCCAAAGGGGTTCTTAGGCCCTGGGGCCAACCGGAGGATGGAAAACCATTTGTGTGGTCAAACCATAGATGGTTGGCATAACCTTAATTGGGTGAAATTTTCATTCTTGCTACAATGAAAAATGGGTGCCTTACAGAAATTGTAACGACTTACTCTGGGATGAGGAAACATGAGACGACAAAAGAAGAGAAAGGTGGTCCTTAGAGCATTTACAAAATTTGTGGACCTCTCTCCCTCTCCAAAAAAAAAAAATTGCAATTTATTTTGGGTGAAGGTGAAGAAACAAGCCTTCAAGCATTGTTTTTGCCAAAATATGCAGAAAAAGACAATTGCCAATGCTAGCTGCGAAAGAATAATTTAATTCAAAAAGATACATAATCCATAGCTGATTCAGTAGTGATGTTTTGCTGAATGCACATAACTTCACAGGCAGTAGCAAGACAAGTCTGACATTCAAATTGATCACCTTTCCTAGAAATACATATTTGGCTTAAGCATAGGACATGACACACGTGATACAGAAAGATATACAAAAACATAAACACTCTTGATAACAATCTTTATCAAAAGGCAAAGGCACAGGGTAATTACCTCATTGAACTCCCTTGCTTGTGGAAGCATATTCAAACCAGTTGTTCCATCCAGAACTAAAAGGATCTCCTGTAAAGATTAGGAAATAATTGTGGATAAAAATGAATTACCACATGACAAGGAAGATATGTAAATTTGGCAAAGTCAAAAAGGAATCTCCATCACATGATCCAGATATGATGAATACAAAAAAGTTATGCACAATATTGTGACACTAAGAGACAAATCAAACTGAACACAAAAGATGCATTAATAGCAGATGTATAACTTGTAGGTATAGGGAAAAGAAAGAGTTAGAGAATGAGGTAGACTTCATTCCCTTTTATATTGACAATACTGAGTAATTACAGGAGTGCCATAAGGCATAATATAAGTAAACACAATTACACAATCACTTACTTCCTATTCTAACTTACTTCCTATTCTAACACTCCCACTCAAGCTGGTGCGAAAATGTCTCTCATTCCCAACTTGTTAAGAATGCCATAAAATGGTTTGCTCCCTAGCCCCTTGGTGAGAACATCGGCTAGTTAGTCTCTAGTCTTCACAAATGGAATACATATGATACCACTAATGAGTTTTTTCTTGATGAAGTGCCTATCAATTTCCGCATGCTTAGTTCTATCATGCTGAACTGGATTATAAGCTATGTTGATTGTGGCTTTATTGTCACAGTATAATCGCATGGAGTCATTCTGATGGATTCCCAAGTCTTCCAACAATAGTTTAATCTATAGTAACTCACATACACCCTGAACCATAGCCCTGAATTCTGCCTCAGCACTAGATCTTGCAACCATATTCTGTTTCTTACTTCGCCATGTGACTAGGTTGCCACCAACAAATGTGCAATATCCGGAAGTTGATCGTCTGTGGTCTTACCATGTGAAGAGTGTTTCACAAACAAGGTATGATCAGCTTGACTTTGCTTGAACCCATATTTCAGCATAGCTTGAGCAAACCTTTCGAATCAAGCCCTAGGAGACTACTTTAGTCCATAAAGTGACTTTCGAAGCTTGCATACTTTACCATTGGACTTAGCATCCGTAAAACCAGGAAAAATATCCATATAGACCTCTTCTGTTAGATCTCCATGAAGGAAGGCATTCTTCACATCAAATTGATGAAGTGGCCAATCCAAATTTGCAGCAAGCTATGAACCATGGATACTCCGAAATGGCCCCCGTACGCGTATTGGATACGGATACGCGTCCAATATGCCGGGATACGTATCAGATACGGTAAAGAAGTATCCCATTTTTTTTTTTTAATTTTTTGAATTTCGGAGACGTTTGGGATACGCGAGGATACTTCAACGATACGCTTGGGATACTTTGGGGATACGGCAGGGCAAAAAAATAATTTTAAAAACTTATAATGAGAGAACAGAAGAGAAATTAATAGATCTGAACCCAAGAAATTAACAGCAAGGTTTCGCATTGAACCAGACGAACAAAGCCCGAGCACTAATGGATCAGAACAAGCATCAAGAGTCTTCAAGATCTTTTGATTTCGAGTCCAGCTTTGACCAAGATTCACCCATGGCCTAAGAAAGGATTAGTGTTGAACCACATATCTCTGAATCGAAGATCGGACGCAAATCGCTCAACAACGATCTAACTCGATCTGGAGACAGAATTCAAAGCTGAGAAATCACCCATGGCCTAACTCGATCTGTCGTCTTTGCCTTCTTTTTTCTTCCTTCTATCTCTCTCGTCTTCTTCCTCCCTCTCTCTTGCTTTGTTTTCGTTTCTTTGCCCAGCAGATGAAAAGGATGTTGATTTATTATAATATATACAAAATAGGTTTGTGGGGCCCATCATTCACCACCATCTCACTTACCTTTAATAATACATTCACCTTCTGCCTCTTTCTATCATAATATTATATATATAATATTTTAATATTAAAATACTCTACACCAATAAAAAAAAAAATTGTATTGTGTTTATTAATTTTATTATTATTATAATTTTATAAAAATTAATATTTGATTATTCAATGTTAATTTTATCATTTTTAATATTTTTAAAAGTTAAATCAAACCAAACTATTCATATTTTATATTTTTTTAAATCAAATCAAACCAAATTAATTATATTTTTATTTTTAAAAATCAAATCAAACCAAACTAAATATATATTTTTATTCAAAAATATTTGAAAAGTTATTTACAAATTATAAAAATAATATTTTTCACAAACGTATCCTCGCCGTACCCGTATCCTATATTTTTTTTTTTTTGTCATATCGTGTCGTATCGTATCGTGTCCGTATCGTATCGTATCCGTATCCGTGTCCGTGCTTCCTAGAAAGCAAGAGAGAGAGAAATTCTCACAGAATTCATCTTAGCAGCCGGTGCGAATGTCTCCTGATAATTCACCCTGTAAGTCTGAGTGAAGCCCTTAGCAACCAATTTTGCTTTGTATCGATCTATGGAATCATCCGCTTTGTGTTTTACCGTGTACACCCACTTACACCCAACTAGATTTTTGCCTCTAGGTAACTTCACTAACTCCCAAGTGCCACTCTTGCTGAGAGCTCTCATCTCTTCCATCATGGCATGCTTCCATTCAAGAATAGAGAGAGCATCCTGAAAATTGGTAGGTAGACTCACAGAAGACACTTTAGATAGAAAAGCTTTATATGACAAAGACAGATTAGAATAAGAGACATGATTAGTAATAGGATGCTGAGTACATGACCTAACCCCCTTCCTATTAGCAATGGGAACATCAAGATCTAAAATATCAGGAATAGGAGCACTAGAATCAGAATTACTAGGACTCTCAGGAGAGCGGTTTGGCTCTGGACACTCATCCGGAGAAGAAGTTGGCAGTAGAGGAAGGAAAGTAGTTTCTTTCATCTAGATGACTTGCTATCTATCCTTGTCCCTGATATAAACTCTGCCTGCTTCCTTTTTCTCAACAACTGCTGGCTCATCATCCTCTATTTGTTCAACCACTAACGGAAGTGAAACAGGAATCTCTTCACATCAAGGCTCCCTCTGAAGGGATGACTGTGATACCGAGGAGGTCGGAAAGTAAGGCTGAGACTCAAAGAAAGTGATATCCATGGAGAAACCATTTGCGAGTGGGAGGATGATAACACTTATAATCTTTTTTGGTGGTAGAATAATCCAGAAAAACACACTTAAGGGACTTAGGATCTAATTTACCACGAGTGGACAAATGATTATGGATAAAGCAAACATAGCCAAAAGTCTTAGGAGAAATGGAAAACCCGGAAGAGGTCGACCTGAACAAAACTTGAAGAGGTGTTTGTTTTTTAAGGACTTAGGTAGGAAGACGATTAATCAAATAAGCGGCAGTGAGAACCACCTCCCCCTAATAGGATCGAGGAACCCGCATCTCAAAGGATAGACAACGGGCGACATCAAGGAGATGGCGATTTTTGCGTTCTGCAACACCATTTTGTTGAGGGGTATTAGTGCATGAAGTCTGGTGGATAATGCCATGAGTGGCGAAGTAAGTGGCAAGACCAGAGTCAATATATTCCCCCCCTCCCCGTTATCAGAACGTAGAATTTTAACAACCACCCCAAACTGAGTACAAACCATTTTATGGAAGTTTTGAAACATAGAAAACACCTCATTTTTATCTTTCATCAAATAGACCCAAGTAGCCCAGGAACAATCATCTATGAAGATAACAAACCATTTGTGACCGGTTAAAGACACAAAATGGGATGGACCCCATATATCAGAATGAATCAAAGAAAATGAAACGAAATTTTTATTAATAGGAGCAAAAGAGGCTCTGTACTATTTTTCAAGTTGACAAGACTCACATTGAAAATCTGACACATTGTTTTTCTCAAAAACAGAAGGAAATAAATGATTAAGTAATAAAAAAGATGGATGTCCTAAGCGACGGTGCCACAGCCAGATGTTTTCCTTGGTGGATAGTAACTAAATAGATGAATGAACCAACTTGTCGGTCTGATCCAAAATGTAGAGACCATGTTCCTCTCTACCACTGCCAATCCTCTTCCTCGTGATGAGGTCCTGAAAAAGACAATGATCAGGAAAAAACGTTACGCTACAATTTAAGTCACGAGTAATACGGCTCAAAGATAAAATATTAACACCAAAATTTGGAACATGGAGAACAGTGGACAAATAAAGGGAAGACGTAGCATGAATTAAACCTTTCCCGGACACAGATGACATAGTACCATCAGCAATACGCACTTTTTCCTGATCTGAGGGATTATACTCTGAAAATAAATTAGAGCCAGACATATGGTCGGAAGCACTAGAATCAATAATCCATGGTACAATCGTATGAGAGAGAAATGCATATGGGGAGGAAGCCAAGTTACCTAAATTGGCAAAAAAAGAAGAGGGTGCACCTGTAGTAGAAGTGGAGGCTCAACGGTCTAGTAAGTGGCGAAAAGCAATCTCAAAATCCGAGGTAGATGACCCCGAAACATCAGCAGTGGAGGAGACAACTGGAGATGAAGATGGCAACTCAACAGTGTCTGAAAGATGTGCTCGTGCATTAGCCCCTCGACCTCTAGACTGACCAAACCTACCCCCGCGAGTACCAGGACGATCTCCTTGGCCACCAGAGGGGGTTCCATGCAGCTTCCAACAAGTTTCTCGTGTGTGGCGAGGTCGACGACAATAGTCACAGTAAAGATTATTCTTTTCAGAGGAAGGACGAGAACCATGAGTCATACAGTTGCCATCACGAGAGGGTGTAGAAACTAAGGCCGAGTGATCAATAGTAACAAAAGAAAGCATTGCAGAGCAGCGACTCTCCTCATTCTGCACAAAAGCAAAGGCTTCCTGGAGAGAAGGAAGCACATCCATACCAAGTACTCTGCTTCGAACTGGATCATACTCCACATTTATGCCTTCCAAGAACTTGAAGACCCACTCTTGTACCACAAATTTTCAGTAACCAACAGAACCAGTGGGACAAACAGACTTGTGGTCCTGAAAGTGATCAAGTCGCGCTTCAACCCATTACTAAGGAAGGTAAAATACTGAAGAATAATCATCTCACCTTGGACAGACCTTTCAATGGAGTGACGTAACTCAA